ACAGTTAAGGTAAAAAATACTTGTGGTGTAATATTTTTGTGAAAATACGGTATCGTAGTTTTCTCTTGTTTCAAATTTAATTAACAAAGATTGATGTTTCAAATGTAATGAAAAAAAATTTATGTACAGTATCTATAAATACACTTTAATAAATGAATACTTTATGTTTTACATCGTCCTATGCTACCATACCATGGATTTGGCTACTTTGGGCTTGCTATGATGACGCAAGCAATCTGCCCTGGCAACTGTACCGACACTCACAGCTGGTGGTGCGTTGGTGCATCGTTTACTGGTAAATATTTTTCAACATAATGAAACTATTACCCGTTTAGAGGTCGACCCCCAATTTTTTGCCAAATAATTTGGTCTTATAAACTCGAACTACACACAGGTATATACGGTAAATAAGGACATGGGGGACCAGGTTTTTTTTTTTTTTTTGGGGTGGGGGGGTGGAGGCGGCAGCAAAAATACGCGGATTTTAACATCCACGGGTATCTCTGTTACGTAACCCCAGCGTATGTTAAGGGCCGACTGTACTACATTTTTTATATCTTGAGCAAAATATATGATGCTTATATTCAAAATTAATCTCTGTCTTGCAAGGATTTCAGCAATGCAAATCATATTATCCTAATTTTAGTCGGAGATATTATATAAGATAAACAAAGAAATCACCAATCTTTTATCTTGAACACGAGGGTGGTGGGAAGATGGCGGGTGTGTGTGTGTGTGTGTGTGTGACAATGTCTGGCATTTGTTTGTTTATATATTTGAGATAAGATTTGACAGTTGGCGCTGAAGGCCTGCCTGCGTGTTTTTATTTATCATTACTTAAGAGTGACTAAGCTCTTCTTATAATTTTTCACCCAACGACCTGGGTGAATATAACTTACATTGGAGGGATTCTTGTAAGATAGTAATTTATTTGAATGTTTTTTTTTTCAATTTAAATTTTAATTGTTTATTCCTTGATAGAGGAAGCGGGATCCTAGTGCTGTCACTTGGTACCCCTGTACCATAACACCAGAAGCAACTGGCCAGTGTCACAAGTATATACAGTACAGTACAGTCATCCCTTGGTTATCGTGCCTAATTGGGACCCCGCCAATAACGAAAGTACAGAACCTATGGGATTTATTCTAATTGGTTCATTTACCCAAGACCCAACCCCAAGTTTCCCATTTTACGACCATTTAGACCCACTAAATATATATATAATGTTATGGTAAATATCATAAACACACATGGGCATGGCTAGGTTTATTACAAAGTGATGAAAAGGGTACGCTTAATACTGTAGTCCACAAAACATGTAGCTATGCTTTTTTTATTTGGTCCCCCCATCATACGAGTCTGTTTTCTCTCACATCAGGACGCACGAGTCCTCCGTTTTCTCTCTTAATCTTAGAGTGCACCAGAAACTATACTATTTTTAGTAATGCCACAGAGTTTGAAATTGCAACCCCAATTTGAGGCAACTAGATATTTCTGATTACAGCAAATGTGTTATTGTCAATTTGTAGGTGAAAGATTTTATCCTCAATAGATGTAGGTTAACATTTCACCTGTAGGCAAATGTTTATAAAAGCCTAAGTAAGGAAGTATATTCCTTTAATACATAATATCTGACCAGTATGGGGAGGATCATCATGTCTCCATCAAGGGTCGTGGAGTGGTGGTCCAGCAGGCGTCACTTTGGGGGGGGGCACGGAGTATATGCGATCGGACGTTAACCAGCGCATGACTGTATTTGTATATCATTCCCAGAATGCCTGGGCTTTAATGAGCCTCAATAACCATATCCTACCTGGTCACTGGTTTGTGAACTGTTTTTGTGTGGAGATGGAGCACTACTACCATGATTAAACTTAAGTTTCAAGGCGTTATTTTTCTTTAAAAAAATTTATGGGTCATCCTACACACCTTAATGACCTACCTCCTAATATTTGAGTCATATTCATGCCACCTAAAACATCTTCCTTAACTCACCCAATGGATTAGGGAGTGATAGTAACATTCAAAATTAATCATTTGAGGTGGACATTACTGTATCTTAAATGCTTGAAGCTACTGACAGGTCATGTGGTTCCTACTCTTGGCAAACAGCAACCTCTCCTCATACAGAAAATAACAATGTAATGATGAGTGGAGTATCATCGTCAACATCTTATGGCCATTTACCACACTAATGACATTCAATTAAATCTATAAAATTTAGTTATCAAATTTCAATTAGTGTAAACCTGAAAATTTCCTCTTGCAGCAACACACCTCTGGTATAACTGAGGGCAACCTGTATTTATAAGACCCAATAAATACATGCCAGGCAATATTAACAGTGAAAAATAAAAACACCTAAACAAATTTTTCATATTACCTGTTCCACTCTTGCAATTGCAATCGAATCCTCAATACCAGCTTCTTTGCGGGCAGCTGCCAAGTCATAGTACACCTTGCCCGAGCAGAAAATGAGGCGCTTTACACCTGCTTCATTCTTTGCTGCTGGGCCAGCCTCTGGGATTATTCTGTGGTAACAACAACTTTGGTTAACTTCCTCTATTCTCTCTCAAAATTTATGTGTAAGGTAATGTACCTCCTGACGGTCGTATCAATATTCTAGATATCTTATTACTCCTTTCCCACTTCTGTGTGGAGTGTGTTTAGGGACACAAAAATTTCAAATGAAGGAAGGAAATGATAAGGGAGACTGGTAGAGAAAATTCATTGTCTACAACAACAAACAGCTGACACAAAGAGCCTTTCCTCATTTCCTCAAATATAATTTTTAAATCTTAAAGTACCATTCAGGTCTTACCTATATTTATATAGTTCAACAAGAGCAAGACAATATGGAAACATGAGATGATAATACGTCATTAAGTAAATATTTCGAGTTTTGCACACAATTTTTATACAGCATACATAACAAAAAATTACAAAAAGTTGAAGTTTCTATCTTACAAACTAGATGGCACATGGGCTATGTGCCAACTCACATCAGTTGTTGCCATTTCCCCCAAACATAACAGCTCTATGGGTTTTCATGGTGAATACATCTTCCTAGTGCAAACAACTAAGTTTTATCCATTCTCAAGGCAAGATTGAGACAAAGAGGGAGAGACAGACATAAGATTAACAGTTAGTGATAGCAGTTACCATCCTACTCACACAACCCCACTAGTCTGAGCAATAATGACCTGTCAGCCAGAACATGTGAAGCTACTACCCAAAATCTTGAAATAGAAAGCGTCACCTCAGGAAGTTGTAGGTAACTTATATACAGTACCATACACAGTTATTGAGATGGGACTTTCCCTCTTAAAATATTTTAAGCTCTACATATTTACATTATGAATTTAAACTGCATCATTGTCTTCCTATCCCCTAAACTTGACCAAGTTTGTTGGAAAATTTCCAGTATTTCTGTGGAGCAGGCAGTACCAAAATTGAAGAGAGAAAGAGAGAGACACAAACAAAAAGAGAGACAGAGAGAACTCCTATATTTCCCTCTGGTGAAGCTGATATGGGGGTAAAAACATGGTATACTACAGGACAGTACAGTATATTCAAAACTAGAGGAATATTTATGTTAAAATATTCATGACAAATGTGAAACAACACACTACCAGTACCTTTGGAATTCAGTTCCCTCAACCATGTCATCAAAGGAGGATTTGGCTTCTGGGTGACGGAGGAGAGATTTAGGGGTCATGATAATCAGTGGTTTTCTGAAGGGAAGAGCAATTTGTCTTCGAAGGACGTGGAACAAGTTGCCTGGGGTGGAGCAGTTAGCAACCTATAATATTTATAGAACTAACATTAGAATGGATGTGAATACAGTTATTAATGATATAAAAGACCTGTGAGTGAAAAAAAAAAAACTTTCCTGCCATTTGTCCCAATAATTGAATTCAATATGTACTAATGCCATCATATATACATACCCCTGCTAGGCTAGACATTAAAGAACAGGTTAATTATCTAATAAAATTTCAGTTCCCCACTACTGGTGAGACACAATCACTCTGATGTCAATTTTAAAGACATACATCATTTAACTGCAACAAAATTTCTCAAAGCTCTACAATTTTATAGTTCAACATTACTCTACTGTTTTCCCTAGTTCATTTATTCAAAGGGTCATGTATCACCAACAAACCACAGGCAACTGACATATCAAACAACCTTACATGTGGACTTCTACAGCTCTATTTTCCTATCCATACTTATAAGCCATTTTTCTGCATTTTCTATATTTCTAAACTTCCTGTAGTCAACCCCAAATTTTCTAGTCCAGTCATAATTTTAGATAACCAATATAAATAACTGAACTGTACGGAGAGCACTCACTCTTTTGTGTTTTTTTGCCATTATGATATAGGGTGGCCACAACTGAGCAAACACACACACATACTTTTCATTCTTCTCCTTACTGAATGATTATGAACTGAGATAAACAGAATATCCAACAGCACACTTTAAGATCCTTGAAATACAAAAATTTATGAACAGTATTGGTGATAAAGATCTCTGAATAAAAAGAAATTCCCGAAAAGGATTCTCTCCCAAAAATTTAAAAAAAGATATATACGTACAGTATTGTATACAGTATATATACTTACAATCCAGTTGATATCAGACAACTGCCGGATTGCGAAGTCACTTGAAAATGCAGGGAGAACATCTGGATCGTCTGAGGTCATCTGCAGGAAGCGCTCAAGGCGGGAACTGGAGTGTTCAGGTCCCTGGGCACAATTATTTACATTAAAAAAATTAATCAATTATAAGAGTACTGTATCAAATTACAATGTGTACCATTATTAACCAATATTCTACCCTTTTTACCATGGTATTATGGTTGTTCTTAAGTTTCAAAAGAGGAAAGGAGTGAAAAAGACATTACAATGTACAGTAATAGCTCAGGGCAGAAAATCAAATGAAGGAGACTTTCATCCAGCAGTAAACTGTTGCTGTACAGGTTGGTAATGATAGTGATAAAAAAAAATCATTCACTATTTAAGTTTACTTGCTTTTTTCTACTCACCATGCCTTCCATGCCATGTGGTAACAACAAAACAAGACCAGTTTGTCTGATCCACTTTGACTGCCCAGAGGATATAAACTGATCAATGATGCACTGTGCTGTGTTGTTGAAGTCACCAAACTGAGCCTCCCAGAGAACCAAAGCATTGGGATTCGTCATGGAGAAACCAAGCTCAAAGCCCAACACTGCATACTCAGAGAGAGATGAGTTGCACACTGTGTAGGGGGCTTGATCTGGGTACAGGTTTGCCAGAGCATTGTATTGGGATTTGTCCACCTGCAGAAAATCAAGTAAATATATTTCATGATTATAAGTAAGAACAAAAAAGTGTTATTCTCATATATCTACATCACCTCAGCAATATGTACAGGTGAATCTGAAGATATGAAAAAAATAAGACACTACAGATCATATTTTACGAAAATTACAGTATTAATAATGTTCTCAGTATCAGAGGAAGATCAAGGAAAAGGAAAATAAATGTAAATGTACTAAACCTCCAAGTAGCAAAGAAAATCTATAATACTGTATATAAAACCTCTTACGCAACAAGGAAGAGATATGCAATATATATAAACCTCTTAAGCAACAAAGTAAAGATAAATATATAATAAATCAAATAAATATTATTTTCAAGGAAAAGATGATTATTCATATTAGAAGTTAAACCTCCTAAGTATGAGTCACAAAAAATAGCATGATGAAGGAAGCAAATATATGTGTATACTGTACACAAAAGTAGTGTGAAGGATATCACTTGATTTATGAAAGACACCTCAGTGAAACTCCTAAAATGCAGGAGATGTATGTAAGGTGTAGGAATCATGTCTGACAGGTTAAATGCAGCAATAAAATTAACACACAAATTACAAAGAATTGTTTCTGATGACCAAATTCTATATATTTACCAAATTTTTGTGTTAGTACAGTATAAGATAAATAAGCTTTGCAATCTAAACAGCTTAGAAACCACTTACTGCCAGTTATTACAATCTATGATAATACTGTACAGCCCAGGTCCTGGATTTTTAAAGGTTTGTACATTGTTTCCTATTACTGGAGACATAAGAACACAATTAACTGGAAGATCTGAAAACTACAGCATAAAAAAGGATTATCCAAAATGACACCCAAATTGTCTTGAAATCATCTTCACAGGATATATTTGTGTACTACCAAATATAGGACCAAAGTATCGTACAGAATCTTCATAAACCTAAGCCCAGACTCTCTAAATCTCGCGTGCATAATCCACAAACACTGGCTATTCATTTCTCTCCTTCAGCACCTTATATTTACAGCCTTGTGAGGGACAACTTATATGACCATCCAAAAAATTGAGTGCTGATATAGTCATTGTTTTTCTAAAGCCAACACAAATCATAGGACTCATGTGGAGTTTGTCACAGTTGCCACATAATAAAAACACTGAAAACTAAAGGTAGACAAATGTGAATAAATATGTAAACAATCTGAAGAACCTAAGCAAGTCTGGCCATCTTAATAAACATCAAATAAATAGCAGCAAAATATTCATATACTGTACTGTATACAAAGTTTTCCCAATTCTTTTCACTCAGTCCCACATCATATACTGCACTAACTAACAGTGTGACTAAGAATATCTGCAAGATAATCTACAATTTTGTAAGGAGCAGAGGAAGAACTCCTTTTCTCCACATAATTATTTAAGCTGTAGAGATTATAAAGTCACCAGCTAGATACAAAACCCTGCCGTGTTCTTTCACTATTGTCAAGACTCAAGGTACATTTGGACTGTATCAGTGGCCCCAGTGGAGTGTGGTAGCAAGTTGATAAAATTATATCCCAATACTGTAGTGCATCCCACCCAATAAGTCTTTACAGTGTTCCATGTTAGCCTCCATGCAACAGTACACTCAAGAACACCTCAACACTATGGTACTGACAAAGTTTGGATTATTGCACATTGTTATAAAACAAGACAAAGGCTTAATAGCATGTAAATCAGGTAAGCTTATTTCCAACTCCATGCAAACATAAACCTCAGTATCAAGCCAGTGCTTGATACCCATGGGGAAAACCCATGAACAAATGCTTATTTTATCAATTATGAAAATCTTTTTAATATCCTCATTTATAAAGTAATATGTGTAGCAGTTTCAGCTATCTTGTTTAGTAGGGATGGGTTAAGGAACTGGTGGCTAGCCATACAATGCATTTTAAGAAATAGATGTTTTAGAGCTCTGAATAACTTTTTCTTTCAAAGGTCTTCCGTTAATGCTTTCCAGTATCAGAAGTGATGCCGTACTCACCAGCCTCAAAGTTTATCACCACCACCACCAAAATATTTAAGTAAAGCCACTTTATGGCAGCTAGTGTATGCATGTGTGTGTGTTTTCATAATTATGTACAGTTACAGCCAAATTTCCCAATTTTGTTTTCAATATCTGGCAACTACTATTGGGGTACAGTACAGTATATATGTGATTGGTTTACAGCTAGAGAACAATGCAATTCATTATAAATTATGTCAAAATAACAACACAAGAAAAAGTAGTACCCCAATTAACGATTTACGCGGTCAATTGAACCCACAGGGTACTGCGGAAAGTGAAAACTGAGTAAAGTGAACAACAGATCATATGGGATTAATTCCAATAGGGACTGGCCCGACCCCCAAACTCCACTTTTTCTGACACAATACCTATGTTGTAGTAAAAATAACATCTAAATTTTATGATGGTATGCTCACACAATTAATATTTAAGAGAAATACAGTCGCCAAGTTAATGTCCATTCAAATAATGGACTCAAATCCCCCACCCCCCCTCTTCCCAGCTCACACCTCTCTGAGAAATGATTGGGTGAAAACACTAGGTTTTAACGTTTAGTAATAAATAATACCTCAGACTAAAGTTAGGATAATATAATTGACATTTCTGGATTCCTTGAAGGTCAGGGAATATTTTGAATGTAAATTTCATATATTTTGCACAAAAGATAAAATATTTGCTTTGTGTAAACCAAATTATTACATTAGATCTAAAATTTGTATGTCTAATGCAAAATCCATGATGTTTATATTCAAAATGATCATCATATTGTAAGAATTCCAGCAATGTAAATTATATTCTGGTCGAGTAATTTGTATGAATTTTATGAGCTAAAACAAATATCTTCAGTTAATAAAAAAAAATATTCTTCACCACACTATCTGTCAATCAAAGTACACCACCTTGCCTCCCCCCCCCCTCCAAACACTCACGCCAGCTGGGTTGGTCGGTCCCAACCCCCCCACCCCCCCACCTTCCCTCCCTTCCAGAGAAATGTTTGGGTGAAAATACTAGATTTTAACTTTTAGTAATAAATAATACCTCAGACTAAAGTTAGGATAATATAATTGACATTTCTGGATTCATGCGGCAAGATGTTACTGAACCCACGGCCTTGCGGGCGGTACCAGGATGCCAAATCCACTGAACATTGCCCGTTAAAGTACTCTGTAAAAGAGAGAGTGAAGCAACATTGCGGCGAAGAGAAAGGGGAGAGAGATTGTCGACTAAAGGAGGAGAGTTAATAAGACGAAATGCCTTTGATTCCACCCTATCTAATAGTTGGACAGAAGAAGAGCCACCCCAGATATGAGAGCAGTACTCCAAGTTAGGACAAATGAATCCCTTATATACTTGGAGCAACTGCTCAGGAGTGAAGTAGCTGCGGCATCTGTACAGCATTCCCAACTTTCGGGAGGCAGCTTTAGTTATACTAAGGATGTGTGATTTCCAGGACATATTGGAGGAAATGGTGAGGCCTAATATATTTATTTCAGAATTTGGGATATGATAGCTCCCCTGAAATGTAATTGGTGGGAGATCGTCTAATTTACAAAGTGTAATGCCTTCTACTAATGAGCAAAATTACACATAGAAGAAAGATAAGTACAGTGGTCCTCGCCACGAACGCCAGTTAACGCAATTTGTTAACGAACGCCTCGGTTAACGAAATTTCGGTTAACGAACTGCCTCCCATAAGATTCTTAAATTCGGTTAACGAATTTCTTACGAGCCGACCTCAACATGTTTTCGCTTGCACTGGCCGGTCAACCAGCTGTAGTATTAGTCCGCCAATACATAAATCGGCTCTAGGGCTTAAATTCCTTACTATTTTAGTATATATCAAGAAGTTTATACTATTCAATAATTTTAAAAGTTTAATATTCAATTTTTTAGTCATTTTAACAATTATTGAACATAACTGAAGGTAAAGTGACTAGTTTAATGCTCGGCATCCAGCCTCTTAACACAGCAAACAGGAGTTAGTCTCTCTGTTTTCACTGGAGGTAACATCTTGCTTGAGACTCTCTTCAACTAAACGCTTTTTTCTGTGTTTCCAAGCAAATTATTGGTCAGTTTGAAATATATTTTACATA